AGAAAATCAAAGGTCAAAAGAAGTGGAACAACTACACCAGGAAGTAAAAGCTTTAGAGAAGCAGACTGAACGTCTTTGTTCCTCACTTAAAGAAGCTGAAGAGAGTTTGCTGTCTAAAGAAAACCTGTGTGCAGAGCAGCAGCTACAGAACACTAAGGACATGGAAGCCCTGCAGATGCAGATGGTAGCATCTGAGGAGGAGGTGAAGAGACTGAATGCAGAGATCAGTGATAAAGAGGAGCAGCTGGTTGAGCTGAAGACTGAAACATCTGCACAATCTGACTTACTACAACAGCAGACACAAGCTCTAAACATGAAGATTAACACCATTACCAATTCACTTGAGACTGCTCAGAACCAGATAAAAGCCAAAGAGGAGCAGCTGGTTAAACTGGAACAAGAGTCCACCCTGCAGATTGAAGAATTAAGAAAACACTGCATGGTTCTTGAAGATGACATGAACCAGCTGAGGCAAGAAATCCAAACTAAAGATGGTGAAGTCAGTTTGTTGAAATCGAATTACTGCATTGAGGTTGAAGCATTACAGAATGAGATCCAAAGTCTGAAGGATCAGATTCAATGTCTGACTGACTCTCTGAAGACTGCAACAGATCAGGTGCAGACTAAAGAAAACCTGCTGGTCCAAAAAGAGACGGTGTATATTCAGGAGAGAGACTCTCTTCAAAATAAGGTGGCAACCTGTGAGGAGGAAATTAGAAAACTTACAGAAGAGATGCAGACTAAAGAACAAGAGTTCACCTCTCTGAAGGAAGAGAGCTCCAGATGTTGTGATATGCAGCAACAAGAGGTCAAAGGTCTCCAACAACAGCTGGATCATTTGGGTGAATCACTCAGAAATGCTGAGGAGGAAGCTCAAACTCGTCAAACTTTGCTGAACCAGCAGGAGCAGGACAATGCTCATCAGAAGGAGCTTCTGCAGCAGCAACTCTCTGCAACTGAAGAGGAGGTACAGACCTTGAAGGTTGAGATCCAGACCAAAGAACAAGAACTCAGTTTGTTAGAAAATCAAAGGTCAAAAGAAGTGGAACAACTACACCAGGAAGTAAAAGCTTTAGAGAAGCAGACTGAACGTCTTTGTTCCTCACTTAAAGAAGCTGAAGAGAGTTTGCTGTCTAAAGAAAACCTGTGTGCAGAGCAGCAGCTACAGAACACTAAGGACATGGAAGCCCTGCAGATGCAGATGGTAGCATCTGAGGAGGAGGTGAAGAGACTGAATGCAGAGATCAGTGATAAAGAGGAGCAGCT